GACAATAAAACCTCTGAAATTCGAGAAAACGATCAAATTTTCGTTACTTTCTGTTTGAAAAATATGCTTTTTCTTTAAAAGAACTACAATAGTTGATCATTTCTTTTTTTGTGATTTTCTCGACGGTATTGAACTTGTGTTATTCTTTCTTTCAACATGAAAGTTAAGAATTCAAAAATAAAAACTCTATCAGGCATTGTTCAAGTGAAGTACTTAATAATACTAGAAAAACATATTGATGTGTTGCATTCTATTTGATTTCTTTGAGGACAACGAAAGAAGAAATCCTTCAACTATGTGATTCAGAAAAATTGATTTTTTTTTTAAATTTTGACTTGAAGCTTTGCATAGAGATTGACCTTGTCAAGAGTAGTTTTATATCTTTTGATTTATTATTATTCCGAAATAAGAATAGCAAATCTATCGGTTTATTAAAGTACAATATCTCCGAAGGAATTAGCAACTCTTTTCTAGAGTATTCATAACAGAGATGAGCAAAATCGCACCGCGCCACTGCTCGCGCCTAGGCGCTACGCACATCTCTCTTTCTCTTTGCTCTACCAATCAGTTTCTCAAACTCCGCCGAATACCGGGATGCTCTAAGCATGCGCTCATCAAAGCTCAGACTAGTGTAGCGTAGGCGTGAGCAACGGCGCGGTGCGACTTTGCTCATCTCTGATTCATAACTCATTTAAGTCTCGATTTATATTTTTCGTAAGAAACTATATAAAAATTCGTCTCTATATATTCAATTTGTTTTGTTTAGTGAAAGTGAAATAATTTATATTCGTCTTTGTGGTTTATCATGTTTATTAAAATTAATATGTAATTCATATTTTTATACACGTATGAAACCAGATGATTTTCTTATTATCATAAATCTTCTTCGTGTAAGTAGAAACAAAAAAAATTCTTTTTTTTATAATATCAACTTGAAAATTTTTATTTAGGATCCATCATCAATTATTCGTCAACGAACATATCGTAAATTAGCTGAACATTTACGTGATCCAATATGTCCTATTGAATTACTTGCATTATTAGCATTTGCTGCTAAAGAACCTGAACGTGAACATCGTGAACAAATTCGTCGTTTAATGTTACAAATAATTGATACACGTCGTGAACATATTAAACTTCAATTATCATATAAAACAGCTCAACCAACAACAACAATATCAAATAATCATGAACATACAAATGGTTTTAATCATGATGATGATAATAATACAAATAATTATTTATCAATAAATAATGATAAACCAATTGATTATACATTATATCCTGAATATTCATTAACATATTTTCTATATTTTCTTTCAAAATCACCAGCATTTATATTATATAATGATATTGAAATGTTACATACAATGACGGATTATATATTATTTTTATTTGATGCATTATTATTACGTTGTGATACAACAGTTGGTTTATTTTATAAAGGTTTATTACGTTCAATAAAATCATCTGAAGATGCAACAATTATATTAGATAAAGAAGAAATAATTGAAAGAAAAGATGCTATTAAAAAACTTCATGTACTTGTTGATTTAGCTTATGTTATTTTATCACAACGTGCATCATCATTAATGATATGTCGTGCTAGTTCAAATGTTCCATTACCTGATATGTATTTTAAAAAGACACGTTATAATCATTTATCTTATTTACCAAAAGATTTTAAAATAAAACTTAAACCTATAACAACAACAACAGTTAGTGATACATTAACTAATAAACGTACAATAATAAATAATATAGAAACAAATAATAATAATAATAATGAAACAAATACAACAACAGCATCAACTATAACAATAATAACAACACCACCAAAAACAACAAGACGAAAACGAACAAGTGGTGGAGAAAATGAAAATGAAAATGATAATAAACGACGAAAAATTTCAGTAAATACAAAACAACAAAAAAGAAAAATGAATCATTCAATTACTGAAAATGAAGATAATAATTCAAGTAAATTTAAATTATTAATACTATCCTTTCGAGTTTGAAATATTAAAAAAATAATAATCTAGCCGATGTTATACATTTTTATATGTTGTTGTATACTTACATTAGGATTAGAATAATAATTTACATGATAGTAAGTTCTAATATCTAACAAATTCAAATCAAATGACTATGGAAATAGAATTTCATTTGATATGTTGAGATATGAGAGTAGGAAATTAATTTAAAATATTTTTTTCATAATAATGAATTTTAGTTACATATAAGAGTGTCCGAAAAGTCACTAAAATTAGAAAAATTTGAATATCTCCATTATGACTCTAGCAAACTAGCTGGTTTTTTTTATCGAAGATAGAGGTATGTTAGCACTTCAAATCTATACGGACAAGATTAGAGAAAAGCTTTGTTAAGAATATTGTTTTTTTTTTCCTATCTGTGAAAAAGTAAAATTTTCTTATTAAGGTCAATAGTGATACTTAACAAAGGTTCTCAATAATTTTGTCCGTATGGATTTGGAGTCTCGACATGTCTCTATCCTTGGTAAAAAAAAATGAGTTCCTTTGATCGAGCCGTAATGGAGATATCCAAATTTTTCTACTTTCCGGACAGCCTATATGATTGATATTTTATTTGAACGTTAATAGGACCATGGCTTAGGTTATATTATATATTATAACATTTCAGATTGAAATTCATTGTCTTTGTTGACATATTATTCAAAATACTGAAAAATCATTAAAATATTTATAATTTCAAAAAGATCATTCATAGTTTCTTGTTTATTCTTTCTTATTAACTTTAATAATATATTTTAATATTTAGCTTCATCATCAGTTAATAGTAAAAAACCTCGAAAAAATCCATCAGGTGGTTCTAGTCGATCTCGTATCAATTTTCCATATGAAAAACCTCAATTACGTTCAGCATCAGCATCATCAGCATCATCAACACCATCACCTCCAACACGAAAAACAAGACGTAAAGGTCTATCAAAATTAGTAGCCAAGAATTAAATCAATAAACTTTCTCTTTATATATATTTTTTTCTTATTTCGTTTGCAATAATTCAATTTTCATGTATATATTAAAAATTTCTTCTTAGATAGAAACGATATAAAACCATTTAAATGTTCATTTTGCTGTATGTTGTAAAATACAAGCAAAATAAAAAAAAATATATATGTAGAACTGATATGTTTAGGTATATCTGTATTTCTTTTTTTTTTTCTTGTTGCGCATATTACATATATATATATATGTTTGATGTAACAAACACAGACTATATCCACACTTATATGTAAATTTATTTTAAAAGATGATTTTTGAAAAAGTATACATTGTCAACTATTAAGTAGATGTTACCTATGGAGCGTCAATATGTCCATGGATTTTCGTATGACTCTTTTGCTGCTTGTGCAAGCATTATGTGATATGAATCGTTATGTTTTTTTTTTTTCTTCTTTATCTTGACGACGTACTCTGTGCTTGTGTAGACATTGATGTAATTTATAATTGACATCGGAGAAAAAAAAAAAAAAGAAGAGAGAGAAAGAATGAAGGTACTGTTCATTTAATATATGTATGTGAATCGATTGGCAATATCGTATCGATACTGTCAAGTGACAAGTACTACATAAGTGTCTAAACAAAAGAATTGTGTATATATTCATGATGCATGAAAGAAAATAGAAAAGAATGTCTTGTGTTTGTTTGTTTTTCTTTAAGAATAAATCTTGTCAAAGAATATAATATTGAAAACTAGTTTAACTTATTGATTAACTTCATTATTTCAATAAATTTTTCAACAATGTATATTGCAGTTGGATGATAGAAAAACAAGAAATTTTTTTCTATGAATATCTTTATTGTAAAAAACAAAAAAACTGTTGTCTCTATTGTTTTGATGTGCAAAGTTTATATATAAAATATTATAATATCGATAAGACCATGAAAAGAAATTTGAGTTAACTACAATCAGATTTAATGAAGCACAAAAGAAAGATTTGCATTTTTGTTTTTCTCTTTCATATATAGATCAAAATGAACATTGCATGTGCGACTATGAAGAGAACAAGTAGAAGCTAACCTATGTATGAATAGAGACAACAAATTTGAAACCATCTGTTACATTGACCTTATTCAAGGTTCATATATTTAAGCTTATGCAAATGACTTATATGTATGTCTGCAGTTTGATTTAAAATATAATAGGTTAGATAATGTTTAGTTTATGATATATCTAATTACATGATAGGTAATCATCATCATATTCAAAAGAAGAAGAAGAAAAAAAAAAAAAGAAGCCAAACATTTGCATATTATTCTTATACTTATCGATGACACCTTAATGTCTTCTTTACTTTTTAACATTATTTTTTAAGTAAATGAATAAACTTTTGAATTAGTTTATTTACAAATAAATATAAAATGAAAGACTTGCAAATTTTGAAAAACAAGTAATGAAATACCAATCCAAAAGATCATAAATTTTTTCTTTTTTGCAATAGATTTCTGTGCAGCAATATTCAGATAATAGAATACATACATATATATATATCTAATACTATTCATGTGCATTCACATTCAATGTCTTCCTTTATTCAAACTCAGTTTGATTTGATGTATACAAGTGTAAGAAAAATGAAGAACAGAAAACTGCTTCGACTATATTGCATTGTCTGTATGTCAATTTGTGTAATCGAATATTGAACTGAAGTTCTCTCTTCTTTCTTTTTCGTTCTCAGTTTCTTCTTTTTTTTCTTTTTCTGCCGTTCGATACGTACAATCGGTAGCAGCATCATCGTCAATGCCATTCTTTTCTAGTCGATCTGTTTCATTTCTTTGAATATAAAAATTTACTCTTTTGTCGATGACTACATAACATTAAGACAGAAAAAGAAAAAAAAAACGAAGAAGAATTTTCTTTTCAAAAAAAAAGCAAATGACACTAAAAAGGTAAATGATCATCATTATTATTATCATTATCTGTTCTTTTCGTTTATCATAGATCAAGAAAACCAATTATGTCTGATACATATCGATTTACGAATTCAAATGATGATGATGATGATGATGATGATGATGATGAAAAACATTGGTATCATATACGTTCATCATCACCATCTTCATCTCTCAATATTAATAATAATTTTTCTCATCAGTTGTCGCCGGCAACGATAGGCTCATGGGGCTTTAACGTTAATCGCTCAACAAATGGACAGACACTGTTATCGTTTACATCAAACAATAACAACAACAACAATGATCAACATAAAATAACAAGAACAACAAAAGATTATAATGAACATCGTGTTGATATGTCATCATCATTATCTTCTCAAAATTTTCAATTACGTACACCGACATTAACTAGACATCATCGTCATGGAAATGAATTTGCTGCTGTTGATCGTCTTGTTCTTGGACCAAGTCGAACTATAAAATCAACTTATTATCCATCAGATGATTCATTATCACAACAAATGATATTAATGAAACAATCTCGAATAAATCCTAATAATCATCGAAAAATACAAACAGAACAAGAACTTATAGCTTGGCAAAATCGAATGCTAGAAAGGTTTGTTTCAATTTCCAAAAATCATATATATTTTTTTTTCACTTTGAATTGTCATCTTCTAGAGATCAACGAATCGGTCATCAATCACCAAGATCAATCAATAGAAGAAATGGAGTAAGTATCATTGTTTTCGTTTTCATTATAACTTTTTCTTCTATTCTTAGGTTAATTCTTCACCATCGTCCAGTCGTCAAATACGTAAATAGTTAGAAAAAAAACGAACACTTAATAAATAAAAACTATTCTTTTAGCTTCATCTATTCGACCAATATCTGCTATGTCAAATATAAGTGAAAGTCAATATTTTGAACATGATCATGTAAATAAACATGTAGTTTCTTAATTTCAAAATAAATAATTTTGCTTTTAATTAGCATGAATCAACAATTAAATCAGCACGAGTTATTAAACGATATATTGAATTACTTTATCATTTACAAACATATTATGAACGTATAACTGATCAATTATTTAATGGAAATAATTTTTTAAAAACAAAGTACAAAAATACAATTGTTATACATTTTAATATTATATTTCTTTTTTTTTTGGATTAGTCAATCATCTCAATCAATATTTTTTAATCATTGTCGAAAATTTTCTGAACAATTACATAATTTAAAACCAATATGGGAACAAAAATTAGCATATCTTGAAAATTTACTTAAAAATATATCATCTTTAGAATGGTCAACAATAAAAAGTGAGGTTTGTAAATAATACATTTATGAAAACTAGACAAAATAACTACTTGATTATTTATTATAGACAACATTTTTACAACGTCGTTCAACTTTAATTAATTTAATACAAACATTAAGTACACAAAGAGATCTTGATGATATTGATTTATCTTTACGTGTAAGGAATTTTGAAGAAAGAAAAAAATTTTTGTTTTTCTGATGTTTAATATTTTATTATAGACTGATATTGATCGAGTATTGTATGATGATAAATTAGGTAAGTTATACTTATCGTTTTAAGAAGATTAGTGTATTCATAATTGTTTTACTAAAGCTGTTCAACTTCAAGATGAACTTTCAACATTACTTCAACATCAGGTTTGTTTTTTTTTAATTAATATGTCTTTTTATCTCTCGATCTTTTCTGTACTAATTTTGCGAATGAATGAAAACAAAAACAAATAGTAAATAAAACTTGTTAAGAGTAAGTTTGCTTGCTTCTATATAAATAATCAAACACTGTTGTTTCAATTCAACCAAAACTGTATTACTTAACCTAAAATTTTATCACATATATGTTTTGGTAAAGATCAAATTTATGTTTGGACCGTCCTTTGAAGAGAAATGCTAGGTTTTTCTGAAACAGATAACTAAGCAAAATATCACATTCATTTAGTAAAATAAGAACGGAGCAGATATTCGTGAAAGTAATTCTCTTTAGTAATCGTGACATATCACTAAGAAAAAGTATAGATTTTAACGGAGAATTCTACCAAACGAAAACACAGAAATTATATTTACATTATTTGTTTCCTTTTATAAATATTTGTGTAAGAAGAACTAAAGTCAATCTTATATGACTAGATTTATTTGACAAAATTTTATTATTTGTGCATGTATTTATTTGATTGCCTGTTTTCTTGGTTCAAATGATTCTATTTTACCTATCGGATCATGAAGCAATAGTTGACTAAAATCTGTGACGATAGTGTCTGGTTCTTTATTGATTTGATCCTTGCTCTTAAATTTTAATGCTAATTGGAAAATTAATTAGAGTTCAGTTTTGAATGAGTCGAGTTTTGAATTGACTAAAATCGCCATGAATCTAATTCGGAAATAATTATTATATGACAATCTATCTCAGCTTTCAATCAGGAACGAGCTGAGCATAGACCATGAATAAATGTGACAGTGATTTTTTTTTTACGTCGAAAAATAACATCCTCTTTTTTTCAATGATACTTCTTTTGTTTTCTCTTACTCCTCCTATTACTGTTGACAAGTCAGATTTTTAAGTAATCGACAATCAGACTGTTTCGTTTGAGTTGGATTCAGTTTGATCCAAACGAAAATGCTGATTAGAAGTTGGATGTTTACATGATGTGTTATACTGCTGAACTGACTATTGTTTTAATGAATGTTTGAGATCGAAATATTGTTTTATCAAAACTCTAAAAAATATGATGCATGCTTGAATTTTCATCACAAAATTCTATTTTCAGTTGATTAAGTATGGTTTGTTTTCTTTTTCTAGTCTTTATTAAATGATGTAACATCATTATTTCAATGGAATCGTCAAATCTATTCACCAAATGAACAAAATCGTATTGAAAATGTTTTACCTTTATTACGTGAACAAATTATAACAACCGATAGTTATATATCACATGTTAGCCAAGTAAATAATAATATCTAAAATTTTTTTTCCTTCTTCTTTTAATACATTGAATCATTAAATAGCAATTAACTGAATTAGTAACAAATTTACGTTCGTTAGAAAAATATATTTTATCTTATACAAATACAATACCATTGATTGATGATGGTAAAAGAAAATTAAAATTAATTTATTCTATTTTAAACATTTGATTCAATTAGGAGTGGTACCTTCACATGGTATGCCATTAAATCGTAATCATCGGCGACCATATGATGAAAATGATTTAGATTCCATAAAAATAAGAGTATAATATTGAAGATAGATTTTTTTGTAAAAAAAAAAAATATGATTATTTTATTCAGGAATCTCGCCTACAAGAATATGATCAAAGTAAATTCTTTGCTTTTTTTTGTTTATTTTCTTGAGTTTGTTTTTCTTCAGATGGAAGTACACATGATGATCTATCAAGTAAAAATATTCATTGATAAAAACAAAGGTTATTTATTTGTTACTTCTAGAAACAAGATCTGCTTCAATGTCTCGTATTACTGATTCTGAAGAATTACACCATCATCGTGTAAATCTTATTTTTATTTTGTTAAGTTCCCTTAAAAATTAACATACTCTTTCAGATAAAAAAAAATTCAAATCTATTGAGTGAGGACCCATAGAACATTTTGAGCAGACCAATGAGTTACTTTTTATCCTTGTTTGTCGAGTATCTCCTCCGAACATCATGATAAAAGGCTGAAAATTTACACATCATCTCTGCGCCATAGCCAGAACATATTTTGAAAATTTAAGGTTTTTTTTGAAGAGTCGTGATGATCTACGAATATTAAAAAAGAAAAGCAATATACATGTAAATTCAAATAATAGTAATAATAATGGTACATTAACACGTCTTGCAACAGTTAAATCTGCTAAACGTGATAATAAAACTCAACCAAATGTAAATACTTATTAGAAGAAAAAAATTTATATTTATAGATTTTTGATATTATTCTAGAGTATTCTCAAACCATATCCTCCTACACCATCGTCGAATGAAAGAAAAAAAATCTTTGATATTAGTACAGAAGTAAACAGTTTCATGAAAATTTTATTATCTTATAAATGTGATTTGTTTTTTTGAAGACATTCAAACCAAATAGAGTTGGCATTCATGATCGATTTGATGATTGTGATAATGATGATAAACATTTAACAAGTCATGAACGTATGGGAAAAATGAAGAAAAAAGAAGAAATACGAAGAATGCATTCAAAACAAAAGTAAATAAAATTTTCTTTTCTATTTCTATTTAATTATTTATTGTTTAGTATGCAAACAACAAATCATCAGAATTTTAATGATGATCATATTCGAACACATTCTAATCATAGAAAATATAACAAAGAACATGAAAGAGTATGTACAAAGAAGATGAAACAAACTTCCTCCTGCAGAATAGAAGCTAAATCTTAAAGTTTTGATCTTTCATACGTAATAGAGAAGTTTACCTTAGTTGAACTTTTGCTTTGTGAAACAAATTTCAAATTCAATATAAAACTATATGTGGAAGAGAAGTTTAGTAGGAAAATCGAAGGACTCGTATTTATGTCCAAATGATCTGAAAAGTTATTGAACTGAAATTCAATCTATAGATAGATCTTCAGGCTATTCGAATGCTCTAAGAATTTTCGTAAAAAGGCATGTTTTCCTTTCCAAATATTCGTTGTTCAAGGAAAAGCAATTCTGAGCGTCTGTTTATGAGATAGAACCATGATTTGAACACTTTTTCTTATTCTCATCGACTCCTATTGATGAGCAAAATATTGACGTGTTACATAAGGAAGCTTTTTATCCTTAGTTCCAAAACCGATCCTAACAGACTTTGATCTATCATGTTTTATTAGTTATTTTTTTCTTTGAATAAAAGTCCTTGACATTTATCATTAATAGGCTGTGAACTTACAATCAAGACTTGCTGAAGAAGTAAAAGAGAAAAATCGTCAAGTTACAGGTTAGTGTGTTCTTTTAAACTATTCGTTTGGGAATGATTAGCAAACAACTTCTAATCGTTTATTAATCAAAATAATTCTTTGTTTTTGTTTCAAAGATTTATGATAACCATCATTAGGTGAGCTGATTAAAATATCTAACTCGTTTATGTCTGTCTTTTCATGCTTGATATTAGGTTTTTGTGTTAGAATTTTAAACTTTTAGTATATGTTGTTTTTTTCGTTTTAGAAAAACATTCTTTGTATAAATCATATCAACAACGATCCGTCTCTTCCAATTCATAATTAACAGTGGTAGTGATGATTTTAGATTTTATATTCACATCTTTTTCTTATTCTTCTTTTGATACAGTGTTCTATTTCATTAAGCAATTTTTAAATTGTACTCTGTTGCTTGTATCACTATTTTTTATATTGTGCATGTTTTGCTTGTGTACTATGTAACCGAAATTATTTCTTTGAAAAGATATAAAATAACATGTTTCTTGAGGTTATAATTATATGTATACCGAACACAAAAAAAGAAAACTAAGAATCATAATTTGTCATATTTCGAAATGATTCCTATTAGTAAGACTGATATGGCGTAAACTTATACTTGTTATTCTAATATGAAGATTCGATTCCTTAACCAATAATACTTAAATATAATTATTACTCCACAATGACAGCACTTGAGATACATGCTACAGAGGATAAAAAGTTACCAACAATAATTATTACCAAACCGTGAAGGTTTTTTCTTAGACATTGAACAGAACAATGTTAAAAACAAACAGTTCATAATATTGCATTTATCGATGACGAAATTACTAATTATCTTAGGATGAATTTCAAGAATTCCTGCAACGTCATCAACTGCAGTAACGATATTTTCTCAAAAATGTTTTCTGTCGCGATAACATCAGGTAAAACTGTCCAGAAAGACGTTATAAACATTAACCATGTTAAAATGTAATCATTTACTTGAAAATTGACTCGTGTCAAAAAAAAAGATCTGCTCATTGCTGTGTTCGACGATCATAAAAAAGACATATGGATCAAAGTATAGCGCACATTTTCGTATGCATTTAATTGATTTTGGATGGCCTTCAGTCAAACTGATCAAACCACGTTTTTCCAGAACAACCACAATGACACGAATATATTTACAATACTAATGATATATCTCATTAAAACATCATGGCCAATACATGCATGTATCATTATATATGGACAATAGCTTTATTTATTTTACGAAGCATAATTGGGCAATATAATATACTTGCTTTGATATATGTGACAGCGTCGATATGTTACACTTGTAATATAATCATGGCATATAATATTTGGTATGAATACAACGAACAAATGCATTTCTTTCGAAACTGCATTCTCTTCCCAAGATTTTTGTAATCATAAGTATCGAGACTTTTTTTGTCTTGAAGTGGAACCACTTACAGGCATGTACCCACAAATTTTCTGAGAGGAAACCCCAAACTCATGAGGAGGGGGCACCATGGGAAAATTAAAAAAGTCACTGGAGAAAAAATGTCTATCTGTACCCCCTACAGGCGTTTTCAGTCCTGAGGGTGGCCCGATCCGCATGCCCCCCCCCCCTTCGGTACGTGCCTGATCACTTGAGGATGTGGGTGTGGCTGAATGTGGAGTGCGGATGTGGGTGTAGCTGAAAGTGGAGTGTGGATGTGGGGTGCGGGTGTGGGGTGTATTGCTGAAGAGAAGATACAGACAATTACAAACTCACATCCACACTCAAACCCACACCCACACCCCATGCACACCCACAGCCACAGCCACAGCCACACCCACCTATCCACACCCATCCACACCAACACCCACAACCCACACCCACACCCACACCCACCCACACCCACCCACACCAACACCCACAACCCACATCCACACCCACCCACACCCCACACACCCACCCATATCCCACACCCACACCCGACACACCCACCCTGCCCCACATCCACACCCACACTCACACCCACCTACCCTCACCCCACACCCACCTACCCCACCCCACATCCAAATTGGAAACGGATCCGAGTCCGGGTCCAAAAATCTTGGACCCGAAGGGCTCTAATCCACACTCATACCCACCTCATACCAATATCCACATCCCACACCCTAGCCACACCCACACCCACGCCCTAGCCACACCCGCACCCACGCCCTAGCCACGCCCACACCCACGCCCTAGCCACACCCACATCCACGCCCATTATGTTGAATTTGTCAACAAAAAAGCCGTAGCTTAAGGCCAAGTGAAGTGGGGGAGCAAATGTGATTGGAAAGCATGGGCCGGGAAGCAAATGTGATTGGAAAGCATGTGTTCCGGGAGCAAATGTCATTAGGGAGCAAGTATTCAGGGAGCAATTGCCATAGGAGAGCAAATGTCCGAGAAGCAATTGTCCTTGGGAGCAACTGTCCATGGGGAGCAAATGTCACGAGAGCAAATGTCGCGGGAGCAATTGTCGTGGGAGCAAGTGTCCGGGGAGCATCATTCGTGTTACCCCATCCACACCCCACACCCACACTCTCAACATCTAGAACACATCGATGACTTCTTCCACATACACGCTGACGCCAACAGCAGACGACAAAACGCACACCCCGCCACCCACATATCACCAATTCACATCAACACCTATCATTGGACACGGATAGTAGATTTTTCGGACTTTTTGAAGACGGATAGAGCAGGAGTGACGACGTGAGACACTGAAAGGTATAGACTTCTGTTTTTCGTTGAATCAGCAGATGCCTCTTTGCGATGTAAATCGTTTCACGAGTGTCAACAGTTTGTTGTTACACCAATGCTGTGTTGTTTATTGACACTGCAATAGAACGAAAGCCATTGCTCAAATTGAAGAGCGTTACTTTTTCTCGATTCTTCGTTTCTGACGTGGAATAAATATGTAAAGAGAGGCTTTTTGAGTTATTGCAGAACAAAAAACAATCTTTTTAACGTTTACTCTATTACAAGACGTGCACAGGCCAACTACGAATACTTTTCTTTGTCTTGTACAAGCAATTTATCGGTAAGAAAAAGTTCCGTTTCTTAACAAAGAAAAGTGCTCTGCCTCCTTTAATAACTCATGTGAATTTCGCGGGGCCATCTTCAATTAGGACACGCTGTTATACCGTGACTTTCGACATTGAATCGAACTGCGATTGTTGTCGCAAAAGAGGTTACAAAACCTTGGAGAGTATTTGAGGGTGAAAGTGAGTCTATCAGACAGTGAATGAGAGGCATGTTCTCTCGTTCGTCAACTACTGAATCAGAAACCGAAACTCGCCCATCGATCCATGCACACATAGACTGATATCTGTCACAGGTAGGGGTAGAACAGCTCCAGCTTAAAACTTTAGCTCATATGAACGAAAGAGCTGTTTGAAGAGTTCCTTTGATAGGAGTTCAACCTTTTCAGGGTGTGGGTGTGAGTGTTGATTCTCTTCGCACCCACACCCACATGGATTCCATGACAGATGCTCCTGCAACAGTTGCTCCCGGAACACTTGCTCCCCAGCGACAGTTGCTCCTCGGACACTTGCTTTCGCGACAGTGGCTCCCCAGCGACAACTATTCCTCGGACACTCGCTTTCACAGCACAGATGTGGGTGTGAGTGGACAAAGAAGTGATGGACATGTACAGCTACCGCATCTCTCAAACCCACATCCATAGTCGCACCCACACTCACACTCGCCCACAATCAAACTTGCGCCCATATTCACATTTGCACTCACACACTCCTACCAACAGTCACATTTGCACCAAAACCTACCCACACCCTCTTCCCCCGCACCCCATCCCCACACCCACACCCAAACTCACACCCCACACCCACACCCACACTCACACTCATATCCATAACCCTGCCGCGGAAGCAAGTGTCTGGAGAGCAACTGTCGTTGGGGAGCAACTGTCGCCGGGGAGCAAGTGTCACCGGGGAACAAGTGTCGCGGGAGCATGTGTCCGGGGAGCAACTGCCGCTGGGGAGCAACTGTCGCGGGGGTGCAACTGTCGCAGGAGCATCTGTCTGGGGAGCAACTGTCGCGGGGGTGCAACTGTCGTAGGAGCATCTGTCTGGGAAGCAACTGTCGCGGGGGTGCAACTGTCGCAGAAGCATCTGTCTGGGGAGCAACTGTCGCAGGAGCATCTGTCTGGGGAGCAACAGTCGTGTTACCACCCACATGCACATTGATACTTGAGTGCTTTAACTCAAGAAAAATTAAACTTAAAGTAGATATGCTAACACAAAGAAGCTGCCACATTTCAGAAGAGGTCTTTTTCTGATAATCAAGATACTTGAAGGACTTCTCTTCACGAATTATGGGGTTTCCATTATTCTCTATAAGTTCACAAAAACAGCTCTTTGATTTAACCTGTCTGTAAGGGGAAGAATTTTCCTGGGGTCTGATTGGATAAAAGAAATAATCAATTAAATTATGGTAACGGTCCTTCGTATAATGCGCTTGAACGATCGGGTCGTGTTTCCGAACTATAGCAGAACACAGTGATAAACCCTTAGTTGGCACAAGTAATCTGATCGCAAGGTTTTTTTTTAACAAAAGAGTCTTTCTAAGGTTCAATCGGTTGTTCCCTCTATATTTGCCAGAACTTTTTCTTTATAATCTCAAAGTGCTACATCCAGATGCGTCTCGCGAAACCTTCGATGAAATTTTAGAAAACGGTCTCCGAGAAATATCATGTCTAGGTGCGTGACAACTTCAGCTAACGGGACCTGGAGTTGTCGACCAGTTCACTTTCCAGGAGCTTAACAAGATCACCATAAGTCATCAAAGCCTATCAGTGGAAACAGTCATAAGTCCTGAAGAACTATCTTTTAGAGGTATTAGTAATTGGTCAATTCCTACCAATAATAATACTGATAAATTTTGAAGGGCTATCCTATGAAGGTATCCAGCAGTAAGTGTGCAACAGCTTCAGTTCACTGCACTGTTCTGGAGCTGCACTGCAAAAAAAAGGTAATTTACCG